GTAGTTGTGATGATATGTCCGGTTTTACTAACACATGTCAACGTTGCAGAATTGTGCTTAGGCATTTTGATTTTATTTTACCCTTAGGCGTGAAGGGGTTAAGCACTGGGTGTGGTTACGCAAATTCTCATGGATTTAGCATATGTAGCTTTTACCAGCCAATGAAATTAATGTTTGCATATATTTAATATCTGATCCCGACCTACACTCGAGCAATGTTTACTGCATATATACATATACAAAAGTTTTTAAAGAGAGTAGAAATACATTTTTTGCAATAATTAACTTTATGCCATGTATGCACGGTAGCTCTTTACAGAGACAGAGTTCTTTCTTTCTTTTCTTTATTCTATTTAGAGCATTCACAGATTCAGCATTACAATTTTTAAACGTTGCTTTAATGAGAAGAAAGGAAAAAGGATGCAAAACATATTTACAGAAAAGCAGTTATATAAACAACAATAAAAAATAAATTGGTTGAAGAGCTGGTTCACACCAGAATGCAGTGCGGAAAAAGTATGTTCCATGAACACTTCCCACACCACGCTGGAACACACTGCCCTTGTGATCTGCTGCGGGTGAAAATTTATTGTTAATGGCACCTCAAATTGCATAGTTTCACAGTACCATGCGATTTGGTGCAGTATGTTTTTAAAGTAGTGCATGCGCTACTTTTTTCTGCGTTCTGGTGTGATTTACAGCCCATTCACATAAATGGGCTGCAAAATTACACCGCACAGGTTCGGTCCAGAGCATTCCAGTGTGATCCAGCCCTACGGGTCAGTCCACACTACAAAGATGCACACTGGATGCATTTTGGATACGTTTTTGCTTACAGTTCACACCACACACAGTTCCGGTGCAGTTTTGATGCAGTTTGCCATGTTCCAGAATGGTTGTGTGCAGACAAAATGCAGCATGCTCTACTTTTTTTTTTTCTGCACCGGACACTGACTGGAACTGACTGCACTGGTGTAAACTAGGGCCATTGGAATACATGGAAAACACTGTGCATGCATTTTTGATGCAGAATAAGAGTGCACTGAACTGCATCTAGTGTGAACTAGCCCTTAAAGTAAAAAATGCTTAAGTAAAGTCTGCCTGTTCTTGAGTTCAGTGACACTTCCTCATTCCTTCCACATAGTTTGGGGCTTGTCAGACCTCACTGTCGTCACAAAGATAACTTTTTATTTTCCTTTGCCAAAACACAATCTTTAAGAGAAAAGCCAAGGTGGCAAATTTGCCATAGAAACTATATCTTTAACATGCACTGCTCATAGAAAATTCTATTCAAATGGACCTGTACAGTATGAAAGAACTTGCCACTAACTTTCCCCCACCTAACACACTGATTGAAAAGATGAAGAGGGAAGCTTCACGTTCACAGATGCCCCAGGTTACATCCTCAAACCCATATGCCACTACTGTGGCCACTGAAAGCTGACTTAATATGTCAACCCAATGTTTCATATTCCTGACACGTGTAATGTACTTGTAGGAAAGCATATCCTGTTCTTTGTATTTCTTCCTTTGTGCCAAATCCCTGGTGTTCCTGCCAGTCCTTCTGCAATCCAATTATAAACTGACCACACTAAGCAGCCATTCACTGGGAAGATTAGTGTGCTGATGTTTCTCCTCTGAGCTTCTGAGAACAGAGGGTATGTGATCACTTATAAAAAAGGGGGAAAAGGTATGTATGCTTTTTTAAATGCATAAATGGTTTGCTTTCATTTCTATTTTAAACTGAATGGGTTGTTTTACAAGGTGAGGGCTCACAGTTCTCAACTTTTAGATTCTGATATATAACAGTGTGGCCTCATTTTGCAGTTTATTAGGAATTACTGTATGATATGAAAAAAGAAGGGAAACAAGTGGTGGAGCAACTGGTGTTTCCCCCAGTCTTACACAAGGCTGGTATTATAGCTAGCCCATTCTCAAATATGAGCTGACCAAGCCTGTTGGTTGAAAATGCTGACTACTGAAAGAATGCTAAAAGGTACAAGGAACTGACATGTAGTTAGTATCTACCCAAAGAACCCCCAGTGGGACTTTAATGCAGCAATAGGATCATACATATATTGAAGGAGACATTTTGTTAAAGATTTTTGTCAACTTTATTACATACCAATTCCCATTCTAGTATTAAATACATAATTTCTAAAAAGAATATTGCTCTGACAATATTCTTACAAGAAAACTTTTAATACAAGAATATAAAACCACACAGAAAAGAGAAAAAATTACTGATGCGTTTCGATCATTCCACATTCTAGATCTTCCTTGGGGGGGCATGAGAGACAAAGGGCTTTCTAGTGAATATATAAGCAATCATAAATGAGTATACCAAAAAATAAATGAACAAATAATGAAAAAAATTATTTTATCACATAACCAAAAAGTGTTTTTACTTACAAAAATATGTCAGAGCAAAAACTGGGATGACTTCCAAAATGGGAGGCTGGAGATCATGTAAGTCACCAGATGTAATAAAAAAAATGCTGGGTGCAATAACTAAAAACAAGTCATATACACGCACACAATCAACATGTAGTCATGCAGGTACTTTTTAATCAGCATTTAAACCATTACATGTTCTACGTATGTGAAAGACCAGATTGAAGGATTTCCTCATTTAGATGTCCTTAAACAGGTTTTTATCTCCTAATGTGAGATTACTATACAGTTGCAAGAAAAAGTATGTGTGAACCCCTTGGGATTACGTGGAGTTTTGCATAAATTGGGCATAAAATGTGCTCTGAACGTCATCTAAGTCACAACAATAGAACACAGTCTGCTGAACATAATACTACACAAACATTAGATGTTGCCATGGTTTAATTGCACATAACATGTAAACATTCACAGTGCAGGGAGGAAAAAGTATGTGAACCTTTGGACTTAATAACTGGTTGACCCTCCTTTGGCAGCAATAACCTCAACCAAACATTTCCTGTAGTTGCAGATCAGACCTGCACAACGATCTGGAGTCATTTTGGACCACTCCTCTTCACAAAACTGTTTCAGTGTAGCAATATTCTTGGGATGTCTGGTGTGAATCGCTCTCTTAAGGTCATGCCACAGCATTTCAATCGGGTTGAGGTCAGGACTCTGACTGGGCCACTCCAGAAGGCGTATTCTGTGCTGTTGCAGCCAGTGTTTTGTTGAATTACTTGTATGCTTTGGGTCATTGTCCTGTTGCATCCCCCCCCCATCCTCTGCAGAGCTTCAGTTGGCGGACAGATGGTCGTACGTTTTCCTGCAAAATGTCCTGATAAACTCTGGAATTCATTTTCCCAATGACAACAATCCGTCCAGGTCCTGAGGCAGCAAAGCAGCCCCAAACCATGATGCTCCCTCCGCCATGTTTCACAGTGGGGATGAGGTTTTGATGTCGGTGTGCTGCGCCTTTTTTTCTCCACACATAGTGTTGTGTGTTCTTCCCAAACAACTCAATCTTGGTTTCATCTGTCCACAGTATATTTTGCCAGTAGTGCTGTGGAACATCCAGGTGCTCTTTTGCAAACTTCAAACGTGCTGCAATATTCTTTTTGGACAGCAATGGCTTCCTCCGTGGTGTCCTCCCATGTACTCCATTCTTGTTTCATGTTTTCCTTATTGTAGATGTGTCAACAAAAATGTTAGCATGTGCCAGAGATTTCTGTAGGTCTTTAGCTGACACTCTGGGATTCTTCTTTACCTCATGCAGCATTCTGCGCTGTGCTCTTGCAGTCATTTTTACAGGACGACCACGCCTAGGGAGAGCAGCAACAGTGCTAAACCTTCTCCATTTGTAGACAGTCTGTCTTACCGTGGACACATGAACATCAAGGCTTTTGGAGATACTTTTGTAACCCTTTCCAGCTTCATGCAAGTCAACAATTCTTGATGGTAGGTCTTCTGAGAGCTCTTTTCTGCGAGGCATGGTTCACATCAGACAGTGCTTCTTGAAACCAGTAAACCCAAAACAGGTGTGTGTTTTTTAAGGGCAGGACAGCTGTCAGCAACACATCCAATATCATCACACTGATTGGAGTCAAGGTTGGCTCACTCCTGGCTGCAATTAGCTCTGGAAGAAGTCATTAAGCTAGGGCCTCACATACTTTTTCCTCCCTGCACTGTGAATGTTTACATGTTATGTGCAATTAAACCATGGCAACATCTAATGTTTGTGTAGTATTATGTTCAGCAGACTGTGTTCTTCTATGGTTGTGACTTAGATGACATTCAGAGCACATTTTATGCCCAATTCATGCAAAACTCCATGTAATCCCAAGGGGTTCACATACTTTTTCTTGCAACTGTATGTCATGAACACGGTTCATTCCACAAACAAGTTTTTATCTTGCTCTCAGCAGAATATCTTGTGACTCTGTTCCTTTGGCTAAAGAAATGACATCAAGTTACTTCTCATGCTCATGGCATTTGGGCAACAATGCTTTATAGTAAAAATTACCCAAGAAACAAAGGGTACAAGGCCAACACATTTCATAGGCATTACACCAGACAACAAGGACTGACCAGAGGGGCATCAAAAATCCCGCCAATAGGACTAAATTGGTATGAAAAACAGAATATGTTAAATTCCAGATCATCAGATCTGAGATTTAGTTAGTGGTTTTGGCAAGCAGATGTTTTGTTTTATGCCATGCAATGCTGTCTGTACAAAATCATCCTGCATTGACTTGTGTTTGTTTACTATCTTGCTGAAAAAAAGTGTAGGACAATCCTGCTTAAACTATTCCTGAGGTTCCCTGTCTCGTGTATGGTTTACAGCTGCCACTACCTGTTTAGCCTGTCCTCCATACAATATGTAAATAAATATTATACAGAATACTTTTATTATATGCTGTATTAATTTGACTTTTTCATTGTAACTTCGCACTACTGAGCCTATTGTGTCATTATACACAGAGAGGTGATAATTAATCTTTACGGAGACACGAGGTGTCTAAATAAGCCTTTTATGACTTCTCTGTTCCCGTAAGCAGAGACTATGCAGTATACCCAACGACTGAGAGAAGTCAACATGCATGGATACTTAAAAGATTTACTGTATTTTTTGCTCCGTAAGACGCACCTGACCATTAGACAAACCTAGGTTTTAGAGGTGAAAAACAAGAAAAAAAATATTCTGAAGTACAGGAGATGACCAGAGACTGCGGACACAGTACAGGAGATGACCAGAGACTGCGGACATAGTACAGGAGATGACCAGAGACTGCGGACACAGTACAGGAGATGACCAGAGACTGCGGACACAGTACAGGAGATGACAAGAAACTGCGGACACAGTACAGGAGATGACCAGAGACTGCGGACACAGTACAGGGGATGACCAGAGACTGCGGACTCAGTACAGGAGATGACCAGAGACTGCGGACACAGTACAGGGGATGACAAGAGACTGCGGACACAGTACAGGGGATGACCAAGAGACTGCGGACCTTTGGGGAGGGAGGGGGAGTGGGTACCTGAATTTGACAGGAACTTGCTCCCACTTCCGCTGAGTTGTCCTCCCTTTAGTGTGGGCACCCGGCTGACAGCCGGGTGCCCACTGGGCATGCGTGAGAATGGCTGCGCTTTGTGAATGGCCCGGCGTCTTCTGGGACCTGTCATGTGCCACACTAAAGATGCCGGCGCGGGAAGACTGTACAGCGCTGGACCGAGGAACAGGTAAGGTCCTGCTGCAAAGAGCTGAGCGGCTGGCCCGGTATTCTGACACGGTGGAGGCGGCGGAAATACCGGACCAGCCGCTCCATATTCACTCCAAAAGACGCACTGACATTTTCCCCCCTTTTTTTGGGGAAAAAAAGTGCGTCTTATGGAGCGAAAAATACAGTATATTGTAGAAATTGAATGATCACAGAAACAAAGTTAACTGTAGTGGTGGGCCGAGCCCCCCCGTGTTCGGTTTGCAGTCGAACTTAATTCAAGTCTATGGGACTTGAACTTCTAAATTCAAAAGTTCCCATTTTGAAGGTTTTTATGCACGTTATTGGCCATAAAAGGGGTATGGGGACTAGGGAACAATGGCACTACTCATGTTGCAGGTCATACATTTCTTCAGGCCTAAGAAGGTAATGTTTATCAACAAGGCACCTTAATAGTAATATAACATGTGCTTATACACCACAGAATACTTGACTAGTGCACCAGAGATCGGTTCATCCAGATCCCCTTACCTATAACTCTTACTTAAATAAAATCATGACACCGATTTGGAGTAAATGGCCAACGTGGCCTTTTATTAACCACACGATTTAAACACCAAACCATTCCTTGTAACAGAAAACATACCAATTTGTTGTTGGTCTTCGAAGGCCCCATCCACAAATTATCTGAAATGCACCTGCGGACCCCATATACCACCAGGCCTCCAGCCGCAACCAACCAGCTCGGAGACAACCTTACCGTCCGCAGTGCAGCACCACCACATTCCAGTTAAACCTTGGTTAACTGGAATGTTCCCCGGGCACACCATACCACCGATGGGTCCCACACCATTCTCTGTACCTTCAAGATAATACCCGCCTCCAAAGACCAACAAACCGCCACAACACGCTGGGTAAGCCCTTACCCATGCGTGCCCCACCACAAACGGACTGCTCTCTGCACACCATCCTGTAAACCCAGAGACCACAAATCCGTCCCAACCGCATTGAGATGTACCCCAGCATTCCGCAGATACCGCCAGGTATCTACCTGCAACTCCAAATGCCGGACCACCAACCCCCCGTTCCGAATGAAAAAGCGCCCCACCTCCTTGTTAACCTTTATCCGCGCTTTATTGAGCCGCTCCACCGACCGCGCCAAACGCCAAGAGGCGCGGGCTACCATATCCATCCACACCAACACCATTTCCGGATAATCCCTCCGCAATAGCAGAAAGTCCATCTTTACATCCCTCACCAACTCCCGCATGGACCGAACTCCCAAATCATTACCCCCCGCATGCAATACCAGAACATCCGGTGGCCTATCCAGACTAGCAAAACGCCTAACTTCAGGCACCACACGACCCCACAACATCCCCGGCACACCTATCCATCGCACGCAAGCCTCTTGTCTAGTCAATCCCAACTGCCGCCCATTAGGCCTCACATCCGCCCGCCTGGCCCCCCAAAAAACGTAGGAGTGCCCCAGGATCCACACCAGGCGCACCGCTCCATCTGAAATAAAAGAACAAGAACTACCACTAGAACAAAAAACGGCACAGAGACAGGACAAACTCCCCCCAACCCAGGGACAACAACCCGGGATCCAACCTTAATCAACCCAACAGATGCGGACGAATGTACAAGCGAAACCTCTGGGAATCCCATCTACCAATACGTTTTACCGCCGCATCCGACAAACCCCACCGGGCGGCCTCAGTAGCCGCCCCAATCCGAAACGAGTGAGAGGCATACAAAGATGCATCCAAACCCACAAACCTTCAAACAGCGTCGAAAAACCGACACAAATTGAAAACGAGTTAACGGGGACCCATCTTCATGCATGAAAAAAGAGCCACGCCCCACCGGACGACGGGACAAAAAGTCACGAACCACCCGCACCGGGCACACCAATGATGTTGGAAGGGCAAAAAACCTCACCCGCGCACCACGACCCAATTGGTCCGTCTTGGACCGACGGACGAACACCTCCACCTAGTCACTAGAGACCCTGACATCATCCCCCAACAACCCCCCAAGAACGGATTTGGATGGACTGAAAAGCTCCCCAATACGCAATGTCCCAAAGAAAGCCACCGCAAAGGCCGCCCGAAAGAAGCACACCTCAAAGTCTGAAAAGCAAACAAAGCGGAGATGCTCAAACAACGATCCTAACAACTCAAAGGACACCGGACGACGAGAATCCTTACTGCGACAAGCCCTACGGTAACCTCAAAGAGCCTGTCATACCCAAAATTCTTTTGTGAAGTCCCGACACCCTTGAAGCTTAAAGAGGAAGGCCAAGCCAGCCAACCGCCGATCCACTGCAGCAGCCGACACCCCCCCCCCCGTTCCAAGTTCCTTGCCAAATAATACAAAACAGCACCCCTACCTCCGGCCCCCACGGATCTATCTCGACCTGATGTAACAAGTCCCGCCACTCCCGCCAGACCTTCGAGTATGCAGACCATGTCGCCTCACTCACCGACCTCCGGATCCAACCTGCAACGACCCCAAGGCAATCTCCCACAGCCAGTCAGGACAAGGAACCCTGTGTCGCTCCGCCGCCGGCGCCAACTCTCGGAATTTGTCCCACTGAAAACGAGACAAAAGCGTCAGCCAAGATGTTATCAACCCCAGGAGATGCACAGCATGGAGAAAAACGTTCAGCTGCAGGCCACGCAACACTAAATGGCGAAGCAAGCCAACCACTGGTTGCGAGGAAGCCGAGACCCGGTTGATGACCTGAACCACCCCCAAGTTGTCGCAATGAAAACGAACCTTCTGATTCCTAAAATTTTCACCCCAAACCTCAACTGCCAATACCACTGGAAAAAGTTCCAACAGCACCAGGTTACTAAGGAAACCCGCCGCGGCCCAAGAAGAAGGCCACGGAGCCGCACTCCACCGCCCCCTAAAAAAGGCCCCATATCCCCCGGAAGCCGCCGCATCCGTGAACAATTCCAAGTCAAAATTACTGACTGCTCCAGACATCCACAGCGCCCGTCCATTAAAGTCATCCAAAAAGGTATGCCAAATCCGCAAGTCCTCCCGATGTTCCCTAGTTAAACTAATAAAAATGTAAAGGGGAAGTAATTCCCGCCGTCGCCGCCACCAGCCGTCGGCAAAATACTCGCCCCATCGGCAGGATGCGACAAGCGAAGTTCAGCTTACCCAGCAACGACTGCAATGCCCGTAGCTGCATTTTCCGCTTGCTCAGCACCCCACGAATTTCCCCTTGTAGGGCCAACAATTTGTCCCCTGGCAGCCAGCACTCCATGGCATCCGAGTCCAAAACGATGCCCAGAAAAGTCATCACCGAAGCCGGGCCCTCTGTCTTGTCCAAAGCCAATGGAATCCCGAAACGTTCAGCAACGTGTTGCAACGTAGCCAACAAAACCGCGCATACCCTGGAAGCGGGCGGACCCACGCAAAGAAAATCATCCAAATAATGGATGACTGAATTTATCCCGGAGACATCCCGCACCACCCACTCCAAGAACGAACTGAACCGCTCAAACAATGCGCAAGAAATCGAACACCCCATGGGAAGGCACTTATCCACGTAAAACGAGCCCTGCCAATGGCACCCCAGAAAACGAAAACTATACGGATGTACCGGCAACAAGCGAAATGCGGACTCAATATCCGACTTCGCCATAAGCAAACCGCGCCCATAACGACGAACCCAGAAAACTGCCGCAGCAAACGATGTGTAAGACACCGAACAGGACTGCGGATCGATGGCGTCATAAACCGACCCCCTTTGGGGAAAGACAGGTGGTGAATCAACCTGAACGAATTCGGCTCCTTCTTGGGCAACACCCCCAAGGGGGAAACCACCAGATCTGAAAACGGAGCGCCAGAAAACGGCCCGCCCATATGTCCGAAACCACCTCAGCATGCTGCACCGCCGACCATAAGTTACGAGCTAAAGGGGGGATCGAAGTCAAACTACACGGGATACGAAAACCCTCCGAAAAACCGGCCAACAGCAGCCCGGCGGCTGCTCGATCCGGATATCTATTTAGGAAAGGCCGCATCCTTTCCACTTTCACCGGAGTCATCCCTCTTACTCGCATGCTCTCCGGGCAGGCCTCTACCCCGCTTGAAACAGCGCGACAAAGGATGGGAGCCGCCGCAACCTGAACACTCATGTTTAAAACGGCAGGACCCCCCGAAACGACACGCGCCCTCTTGGAACTGCCAACATACACCCCTACGCTTTGAGGCCGATTGTCCTGGGGAGAATGAACCACCGACCCCACCCTGAAAAAACGGACCAGGAGCCCGCACGGGAGTCATGAGGCGCATCCAAAGGCCAATGTCCTTATGGTCCCAATGCAACGAAGGGCGAACAGCCCGCCGCTGCCGAAACTGCTCGTCGTATCGAAGCCATGCGGTCCCACCGTAAACCCTGTGAGCCTCGCTAATGGCATCCAGGTAACAAAAGAGAGCTGAGCAATGCTCAGGAGTCTTCTCCCCAATGACACTGGCCATGATCGCAAATGCCTGCATCCAATTCGCAAATGTACGCGAGATAAAACGAAAGCGCCGCTTCTCAGCGTCCTCTCGCCTACCCTCGTCAACCCGCGACCCATCTAACAGAAAACGCTCCAAAGGGCAAGAGCGTGAAAATTTCCACATACTCTCCTCTCCAAATCCGCTCTCGAACCTCCGACGGTAAGTGCGCACCCAAAGGGCCCTCAAAACATACGTATACCTCGCTCTTGGCCGAGTCCGCCACGCCTACCGTCCCGGAGACCCCAGCACCCCCATCTACAACCGCGGAAACCAGAACACCTGTTTCCGCTGTAACCACCCCTGGCGCAGAACCAGGAGGAGGAGAAACCCCCAAGCTCCGCACGTCCCCTACCTCCTGCTCTAGGACCCCGAACCCTTCCCCACCCGGCGGCGGA